ATGGCATCAAGTGTGGCGGCGGCAGTGAGGTTGGCCCAGGATCGGACATTGTTTCATTCTGCTGTGCATGGGGTCACTATGGGTCGGTTCCGATTCGATGGCACCTGACAACAATAATAACATACTATTTATTTATCCGTAAATAGTATAACAACTTGCTCAGTCTTAATCCCGGGCATATTGTTGTTGTTAGGTGCTACTGAGTCAAGTTGAACTCACAGTGGCCCCGGATGACAGAGTAGAACTGGCTCTGAGAGTTTTCTAGGCTGTAATCTTTAAGGCAGCAGATCACCAGGTTTTTCTTCCGCAGCGCTTCTTTGTGGATCAGCAGCCAAGTGCTTAACCGTTTGTGCCATTCTAAGGGACAAATTGTTCTAGATTTTCAGACATTTGCACTTAAATTAGGAAAGGTAGAAGATGAGTAACTATAGATAATTATAGAACAAGGGCTAAATCTCCCGTCATTAATGGATTTGAGAATAAGTATATGCCATGGTATGCCCTGCTGTGGCACTGTAGGATCAGCTCTGGACTTCGAACCACAGGTTGGTAGTTTAAACCTGCCAGCTGCTCCTCTGAAACCCTATGCGGAGTGGCTGAGTTGGAACCAGCTCATTGTCACTTAACAACAACAACAACAACATGGTATGCCCACCAAAGACAGACCGCTGATGGTGAGGAGTGAGAATGCAGCGGTGACCCAAGGAATGTCTTCATCACCCTGTGAGTACCCGCTGTCTGGGGGCAGCCAGAAGCCTCTGTGAACACATCTTTTCCAGCCCAGCTCCTTCTCCTGATTCTCGATGGTCCAGTCACAGTGTGTTTATGCTGAGGAGGGAGCACATCTGCTGCAAACGATCCTTTAATGTGTTCAAGAGCAAAGATGTCACTTTGAGGACGAAGGTGTGCCTGACCCAAGCCGTGGTATCTTCTGTCACCACAGACACATTTGAAGACTAGACAGTGAAATCAGGAAGATGGAAGAAGAAGTGATTCCTATGATTTGTGCGGATTGTGAAGAATGTTGACTCTACCACGAACTGCCAGAAAACACACCAATCTCTATTGGAAGTACAACTGGAATGTTCCTATGAAGCAAGGATGGTGGTGAGACTTCATATCACGTACTTTGGACAGTCCCTGGAGGAGGCCATCATGCTTGGATTGACTTGATGGCTGCAGCAGTTGACTCACACAGAGCAAGTGTTCTGAGGATGGCAGGGTTTCATTCTGTTACACACAGGGTCACCGTGAGTCAGAAACAACTGCACAGCCCCTAACAACTGTATCCAGATGCAGTGC